GGTTTGTGGTAGCGGTGGTGCCCACAAATTAAGTGAGACCAGGTTTGCGGGACAAGGCAGTGTACTTTAGCAGAGGAGTGGGATATGGCAAGAGAGCAAACCAAACCAGACCACAAGCCCATTCAAGTGTGCTTGGCTTTTGCTCTGTTCTGCAATGTCAGTGTCACCTCTCCTTTTCTTTTATACCATTTCTGTTATTCATTTGGGGGGGGAGGTCCAATATTGGACCCATATTAGTTGGCTACTATATGACCTCTAAGGTGATGCCTAATAGTGGTGGTAAAACTGAAGACATGAATACATCCACATTACTTTTATTCCTTAAGTGAAATTAAAAGGATAGCTTGGTAAGCCTCTCTTTTTTTCTTTTTCTTTTTTGTTTTCTTTTTTTCTTTTTTGTCACTAGACTCAACTTGAGCAGCTGCCTGGCTCCTAGTCCTGGGATCATCTCTGCCCTCCTTTCTTTGGGCTGGCACAAGTACTGCTTGGCCGGTAGAGGAATTGATACAGCTAGGACATGGACAAATCTAGCAGGAGTGGGAGGGCTGGGAGCCTGCTGGTTTAGGCTGGCTTTTGCAGCACTGCTGCCAGACATCGAGCCACAAGCTAGGCCTGAGACTTGCCCTCCCCTCTCTTAAAAAATCCTGCTTGTGGACCTGCTGCCAGGGAATTTCATTCAGGCCTCTCGACCAGAGCCCTAGAGCAGCATTTGCACGGATGCCCAGTTTGCAATACCAGGCTCAAGCCCTGCAGTGAACACGATGAGGCACAGTGCTGTATCTTGCTTTTCTTGGACCTGCTCTCACAACAGTGCTCCCGGGGACTCTTTCACAATTCCTGCAGCCTGGCACGTGCTGCTGGACATTTTTGGCTGCTGGGCACACCGCTGATGTTGCAGGCACACACAGAACATACATCTTCCTAGGGGTGGGGGATTTTTGGAATTATGTGGGTGGGTTCAGCTGAAAGGGAAATAGCATGAAACCTGCAAGTTATTCACAGCAGGGAACGGACGACCTGCGGCCACGCACATTGTGTAAGCCTAAAACTGCAGCTCCTGCTGATGTCGGCTGGCTCTGGGGAGTGCATGGCCACAGGGTCTCCGTCTACAGCAGCTCTGCTCATCACCCCACGCCGAGCACTGACTGCACCAGCTCAGCCTGATCTGCGGCCCTTTCTGCTAACTTGGATCAGGCCCTGGGAGCTAACTAGTGTCTCAGCTCACGTATTAACTTCACGGTGCTGCACTGTGGGGTGGAAAATGAGCACCTGACGGTGCCTACTGGACCTGAAGAACTAGTGTGTCTTAGGAAGATGATAGCTTGGGAAGAAACTCTCAACTCTCACACCCAACAGATACTTTAAAACCTTGTAGGAGAAAGTTCCACTTAATTTGAGACTTAGCAAGCACCAGGCCTGTCAGCTCATATGTCCCATTGCAAGCCCAACTACTATGCTGTACAGCCACATAGCAGACTACTCCTTGTCTTGCATGAGTACCTCTTTGCGTCAATAGACCAGTTAAATAAATCCCGGTGATGAGTCCAAGATTTGTCCTAGGCTAAGACAACAGCAAGCAAGGGGTGAAGCAATGGTGACATCTCTTCCCTACCACTGACAGAAGGTGCAGAAGTGCTCCTCCAAATGTCCTCTCCTCCCTACCTCACATACGGAGTGACAAAAGAATGCATTCTCCTTCTCTCACTCATTTTTAGTATTTTGAACATCTGAGGTGCTAGGGAATTAAGGAAAAACGTTGCAGTATCTAGAACAGGCACAGAAGTTTGCAGGGTCATGGAGCTGCACATAGTGTCATACAGTATATAAAAATGTCCTTAATGTTAGGAATACACAAAGGTTGAGGAAGGGGGACCGATGATTTTCATTCATAGGCATGAATTCTAATCCCAAAGTGATGACAACCTGTGCAGATGCACTTGTCATGACTTCAGAGCTTTGTCCAGTGGGGTCCTGAGCCCCTCCAAGGATGGAGGCTGCACGGCCTCCCTGTGTAGCCTGTTCCCGTGCTCATTTCACTGCCCTCAGAGTCAAAAGTCTGCAGTTGCACATGCCCTAAATCTTACAGAGATATTTTGGCTCCTTGAGCGAGGTGTATAAAAGTCTTTAGGAGCTCAATAAGCAGAAAGGCATCCAGTGGGTTGTCTAAGCAAGTCAAACTGACTTCAGTGGAAAGTCTGATCTGCTTGGAAATCCCGTTAGAGAGAGCAAGTTCTTTACGTGACTTGTCCCGGTCAGCTTCTGAGTGAGCAACTGAACAGAACAGAAAACTTTGCTCTGCTGTTCATACTGATTTGGAAAGGCAGCTACAAGTTGCACTGAGAAAGAGTTTACTTTTTTTTTTCCCCCTTGCCGTAATTGTAGAAAACAAGGAGGTACAGACGTGGGTTACTCAGAGAGCAAGCTCCCTCTACGGAAGTGCACCGCAGTTGCTGAACTCAATCTCTGTTGTTACTGTTGTGCACAGGAGTCTAACCCTCCTTAATGTCCTTCCTACCAGCCACGTCCTCCAGTTTTTCATCTCTCCCTATCTTTTACTGCTATTCCAAAATAATGCTGATAACTGTTAAGTCACATTGGTTCAGATGCATTTCTTGAGCTTGGCTGCCAGAAGTTGTTCTGTTTCCTCTTTTCTTTCCACATCACTTCACAAACGGTAATTAACTGTACTGTTCTTTCTTCAAAAAAAAAAAGAAGAGGCTGATGAGGCAGGTGTTGCACCCCAAAGTCAGGCACACAATGAGAACAAATTAGTTGGCTTCCAGAAAAACGTAACATGGAGTAGCATTCATGAAAAAAAAAACAACCCTCTAAATCATGGCTGGACAGAAAGCTAGGTCTCCGAATAGATTAACCAGCTGTAATGTTTTTTCTGGGTTCTTACTTAAACAGGTAGTATAACCCAGTCTTAAAATACCTATATTTGTTCAGGCTCAGAGTACAATACCCTTTTATAGATGTAGTTTCAAACTGCCAAGCTTACTGCTTCGCTGTTGGGTGATATTTTGCCATTTGCCTGCAGCCTGAACAATGAAAAGTAATCTTGTTTGTACTCTGTGCTACTTTAAATATTCACATAAAATGGTGAGAATGCCTTTATTTTATTTGGGATGTTTGAATCTGGGGAGTATTCAGCTTGATAAAACAAAGGGGCAGCTGGTTCCAGACCTCTCAAGTTGGACACCCTAAAACTCCCTCTTTAAAAGAATGACTTTCTCTGAAATCTCTCTTCAGCTGCCACCATGGCAGCAAGTTAGCAAAGCCCTCTTCTTCTCCCCTCCCCAAAAAACTGAACAGGGTTTCCACCAAAGTTCTGCTCTGGAGGTAAATTCTCAGTGCCTTGCTGCAGGGATCTGCGTTATTAGGTGTTGGCAGCTATAAATGCAGAATAAGCTGACTGAGGCAGACCCTGCCTGTTCAGAACCTTCCCTGGGGGTTACCAGCCATGCTTCAGGACATCTAAAGATGATGTGTTGTTGTTTCTGAACTGCTGCAGTTTGCAATCCAGTTTGTTAAAAGACCCTGAAATTAGCAATGGTTTAATAAAGTTGGTGGTAAATTGCTGTTATTCAAGAGATACTCTTTGAGCCATCATCCCTTGTTCAGAAGAGAGACGGGAGAGCAGCACACACTCTCTAGATTCAGGCATCCCAATTTTTACTGCCTCCGTGCTGCTGACTAGGTCACTCAACAGTGCTGCTAAAATGCCACGTAAATACAACTGTCATAGCTACAGGGAGAAGCATTCATAGTTTTGCTTCCTCGCTTTGTTTTTCAGGACACAATGACCAATACCCGTAACTTTTACCTTCTGTTTGCCATACTAAAATATTCCCGAGCACTGATTTTTTTCTCTGCGGCATGCCTAGTCTGTTGAGATTTTGCATGCTTTAAAGGGTTATGTAGACTTGGAAGGGAAAATCTGCTCAGATATTTGATGGCCTCCCTCTAGTGGCTGTTATTGGGGAATAAAAATAGGGCTGTGATGAAGTGAACCCCAAGGTTAGGTGTGTGCATTAACCATTATATGAAGATGAAAGGAAGTAAACTTGGGAAGAAGGCTTATGCCGTATCAAAATATGACACAGGATTACTGAGTTATTGCCAAAGCTCAGTTACTGCTCTTTCAGTCCTGAAAATATTTATCTTGCTACTTCCTTCCCCGCTTTCCACCTCTCTCTCTGTGTCCTTACACATGATGATCTAAGGATGCTGGTGGGCCAAAATCTGTGTGTAGAGAGTTTTTCTTATTTTTTCCAGTTCTGTTAGTTGGCCAAGTAAGACAAATATGCAAGCCCCTGTTTTTCAGACACGGAGGAGGGCTCCTGTGCCTGAAAGCCTACCTGATTTTTCTAACCACACCCACTGATCTAGTAAAAGATGCTGTTTTCTCTTACAAACCTTGTCCCAACAGATATTTAAAGAACAGGTAAGATCTGGGAAGTGCAGCATCTTTATTCCATTTCCATCAGTTCTCTGCAGTAAATATCGGTATCTTTGACAAAACAGTATCTGTATGTATAGCCAGCAGTTGTGTTCCTGCTTTTAAGACCTTGCTGACTGTGAATCGTTACTTTTTTGCTTACCAAATGTGCACACTTGTCTTTTAGACATGAGAAGTGCCAGGGATGCATGACTCTGTTTATATTTTTATAGAGAAAGATAGCCATGACAGTGTAGCAAGACAAAAGTTGGGGCTGGAAAAGAGCCCATTAAAAATGGCAAAAGTGCAAATCTCCTCCAGCCGCAAGAGGAGCTTTGCCCTGGTGTCTCTTTTTGGATCTCTCGCGCTTTGGCCTCTGGGTGTTAAGTGGAAGGTGAGATTTGCAGGCAGTGTGAGACAAGCTGACCCGAGCTGCATCTACAGAACTTCCTAAAGAAACCCATCTCATGAGTATATGCTTCTGGCACAGCAGAAATTAAATTGCTGCTGCTATTCTCTTAACCGCTTTTATTGATGTTGTAGCCTGGGGTTTTCCTAGCTAAAAATACCAGTTGGGTTCCACCTGAACCTCACTCTGGGACAAGGTTCTCTGCCGATGTCTCAGCTCCAGGCACTCCACAGTCAGAGGGTATGTTTTAAGCTCAAACTTATTTGCAAACATACAGGTGGAGTTAAAAAGCCACTTGAGGTCACCTGTTCCATATACACAAATGCCTCTGACATAATGGCCTGCCAAAAGAAAAAGAAAAAAAGCAATGTCAGAATCAAGGATCTAAATCATTCTTTTTGAAAAGTTTTATCTGCAAAGCCACTGTAAATATTCTCCTACACAACAAACATGCTAAAAGGCCTAGTGGACATGCAATGGGAATAAGTATGAATAATGGGATGAAATGAAGAAAGTTACTTCAGAATAAATAATGAACAAAATATGGAGATAGCTCAGAAAAGAAGTGTTACTATTTGAGACTCTTTCTCAGACAAGGCTGAAACACAGCAAAGGGGAATTTCCTTCTGCCAGTGAAGAGAAACCGATACTTTCACTCATACTAGATTTTCCACTAACTAATTCTGGGTGATACTGGTGTTGTTTCACTGATTTCAATGTAGTTATGCCCATGTGAAACTGCTGTAATTGAAGCTGACTGAAGTTCTCAAAATTTTTCTCCTCAACACAAACAACTATGTTATAGATTAAGAATTCTTGAAATAAAATTTGTATCATTAGCATTTTGGCATTCCTTTTCTCGTCCCACTTGGATATGTCAGAAGTAGTAGCAGTACGCAGTGTACAAACCAGTGACTGAAAAATTAAGCGTGCTATACAGAAGATTATCTACTGCTAATGTTATGTCATGAAGTAACGTGACATAGGAAAACTCAAAGCTCAGCCATCATCGTCAGCCCGCAGCTCCTTAGGTTCCTCATCAGCTGTGGCTCTGGCAGGCATCGATGCCCAGCTGAGAGCTGGGATTTGTCCGAGTTCACACAGGACACCTGCCCTGCACACTGCTGCTGGCTCTAGTGCATCTGCGTCCCAGCGTGGGACATACACGGGGGCTATTCCCACCCACCTGTGAGAAAATTCCCCCAAGGCTTTCAAGAAAATACTCAGCTAACTCATGTGAGCCCTAAGCGCTGCCAAATATCCCCCTTTCCAAGGCTGATACGTTCTATAAAATTCCTGATGAAGAAGCAACTGTTCCAGCTTTCTCACTGTTTATGTGTCTACTATCACTCCCATATGGACCATGAAGAAGATGACTCCTTTTTAATGTCTTCTCTCCGATGAAGTGCTGTCTAAAGACTGTCTCACATTATTGGAGGCTGTAGGAGTACAGGAACAACAGACGAGTGTTTTTCACTATATGAACAGGAAGAAGAAATGGAGAAAAATGTACACATTACCATGACAACCTCCATGGCTCTCTTCCATGTCAATCCACTTCACTGCTTTCAGGTCACCTTCCCATGATGCATTGGGCATGGAGCCTGGGACGCCTGCAATTAGATAACAGAAGATCAAATAATTAGTTCTTTTAACAGATATGTGTTCAGGTTTATGTCCACTCTCTGAGACCTTTCTCCACAGAACTGGGATGAAATACTTAGGAAGATGTATCAACAGATGCCTTCCTGCTAACCTTGTTGTCAGGTTTCGTCACTGAAAGCAGCTTTCATGACATAAACAAGATGTCAGCCCAAGAGACCTAAACATTTCACTTGAGAAATAAAATCCCTCTTTTGCAACAGCCTCGGTATGATACTGCATGCATGTACGATCACTCATGTCACCTTCCCAACCAGCACTGCCCTCCAAGGGCTATTTGAAATCTGGGCCACCAACACCTAGTACCTTCGCATGAATTTAGTGGTAAATACTTCTCTTTTTTTTCTTTTTTTAAGAAGAGAGGCTACTCTTTTTTTTCTTTTTTTAAGAAGAGAGGTACTCTCTTCTCTCAGAACAAATTCAAGCATAATATAACTGGATGGAGTTGTTGAAACTCTGTTATATAATAATATATGTAAGTCTAGGCAGATCACAGGACCTATCTGGGTGATATATTGGTAAGAGGACCTCTCCTCATCAGTAAATGATCAAGTCCTCCTATAACCTGTCAAACATCCATTTTAAGTAATTAAGGGGGAAATGCTGAAGACGCAGTGTTTGGTATTTGCTGAAGAGTAAATAGGTAACATGTATGCAATGTGTAGGCAACTGCTATGAGTCAAGGGAATTTCGGTATCTTCAGCACAAGGCAGTAACTACAACAGACCATCGCCATGGGTTGAAGTCTTTGCCTTTGAAAGCAAGACCTGATGAGGTAGGTACAGCTAGGGAAACCTCCATGCCTGATCTGTGCTGTAGTATCATATTCAATTCAGCGAAAGAAGTTTATTGAAGTACTTCCTAAAACTGTCTTCAGAATACAGGGGGAAAAAAAGGAAAGATATAAAATAATAAAAGCTTTCTATGAACTCATCCCTTTCAGCAAATTTGATCGTTCTTGTTGGCTCAATCAGCTGTTGAACTAAACAATTATATGGACTGTGTAACTGCCACCCGATGTACAAACCACTTCGCTAAGAAAAGCTGGACAAGCCCCAATTTCTCACTGTAGCACAAACACTTGTATATAACTTATTTGTCTGCTTGGAGAAAACTAACCATCTTTTATTCTTTCCTGCCCGGCAAGCAACGACCAATGCTGTACCTGAGCTATCAAAAGGCAGAACAGGCAGCGTGTGGGGAGCCAACGTGCATGCCAGCAGGTACAAAAATGCAAACGTTATTTCTGCTTTCTCCTAATGAAGCTGAAAGCAAAGGGAAAGACTGACTTCCTCAAATGCAAAGAATTACTGCAGCGTTACCGCTGAGGAGTACCTGGGACTCAAGCTTTTTAAAAAATGCAGCAGAAGCGCCAGCACTAACTGGTGGCGGTGACCGGGGAGGAGAGGATTTGTACCAACCCGGCCGCTTCCTGCACACCCCGACCCAGCGGGAGGCTGGAGTCGAGGGGGTGCTGGGGTAAGCTGGGGTACCGCCACTCTGTGCTGCCAACCTGGGCGTTTTCTAAAAATTAAAGGTGAAAGTAAAGTAAAATTTTGTTACAATTTTGTTTTTTTCTGTTCCCTCCCTGGATGGCAACAAGTACAGTACCTCTACAGTTACCATAACCCAACTTTGCTTGTGAAAGACACACCAGAACCTAAACACACTGTATAATGTCAGGGGGGGTTCGTTTTGGGGTTGGGGTTTTTGAGAAATTGGATGGGATTAGGTTAAACATCAGGTTTTTTTCTGTTTGCTTTCTTTGCTCTGTGTTTTTAAGGATAGCTTGTTCCTGGTGAGTAAGGATGGTTGTTTGCAAATACCGAGTCATGACTTTTATATCAGATGCAAAAAGGCTGTATGATCCAACAGCAGAACCACCATAGCACTTTGCCATAAACAGAGATATGTGGCAGCTATAACCAGAACTTCACAACCTTATTTCTCCCCTTTTGTATATTGGGCCATTATCAAATAAAATAACATGCCAAAAAGTGTGGTTTTGTCCTGGGGAAAATTCAGAAAATCTTACTCTTTCGCAGAAAGCATTAACCTAAAGATAAGACTTTATAAAAGACAAAAAGAAGCAGTGATGGCAAGGGATAAACACTTTAAATGGCCCGGGACATGCATTATCATCCCAAATTAAAAATCTGTTCACAACAGATGGCACTAAATGTGGTGTGCGGAAAGACTTGGAAAATGCTGACATGGTGGGAAAGCGGAAAGATGACGGACAAATCAGGAACGACCCCAGGACATCCACAAAAACACTGGAAAGAACTGTCTTCCAGGAATACAAAAGTACTGACTTCACATTATTCACCATCTCCCAAATTGAGTAAACTAGGCATTTTTGTAAGTTAATTAAAGAGTGGGGGAAAATGTAGCTCAGCGCTGGAAAAAAAAATTATTTACCACATTTTCCTTTAAATATTTGTTTGAGCAACTGATTTCATATTCGGAAGCTGTTCTGGGATCCTGTTCTTATAAATACGGTTTGCCTGAAAAGTGGTGCTGATGATGAAAGTTAATATAAACTTTGGCCTGAGTTGCTCACTCTACTTTTGTCCAGCTCTCGTCTCCCACTCCATTGAGGTTAGCAGAGTTTTGTCCCTGAAAACAAGGAGAGGGGGAAGAGCCGCCTTGCAGACAGTACTGAGCACTGCCCTGGAAACAAGTTTGCCACCACCAGGTCTTAGAAACAGCCACCACCAGAACTGCACCGCTCGGGTATGAAGACAGTCACAAGTGACTGGAAAGACAGGCCAGCCTCTCTGATGCCTTTAATTTCATGTCTTCCCTTGGTGGCAGAGGTTTGGAGGCAGGAAAAACACTGCTTCAGAGTTTGGACCTCATCCACAGGACAAAGGCAATACAACCTCCTTCTCTGCTAAGTCCTTCCTGGTTTTTTGCCGTTGCAGTTCCAGTGAGAGTTGGTCTGCATGCATTGGCTCCAAGAGGCAGCCCACTCCCTTTACTTCTTGCATCGCTACCATGTATTATGAAGACAAACATCCGCAGCTTACACAAAATGAGCCACTGCTTTGGCATTTTTGTAACGTGCACATAAACTGACATTGGGCTGGAAATCTTGCAGCATAAAAGGCTGCCTGGTTTGCCTTGACCTTCCAAGTTCCGTACCTGTGATTCCAGGATCAAACCAACACATAGGTTAAAACCTAGCTGCCAAGGGGCTAGGCTTCACCAGTGCCCTGAAGCAGCCTGTGCTTCCTCGTCAGCATCTCTCTAGAGAAGGGGAAAACTTCTTTACACTTCTGTGCCACCAACTGATCTGAGCTTTTCTCCTGCATTTTATAAGGTGGTGCACAGGAGTTTGTACTTCAGAAATCTGCCTGAAATGGTGTACATATCACCCTCGGGAATATTATTCTGCAAGACCTGGTTGAAATCAACCATAACTTTTGCTGGACTTTGGGGTCATGTATTTATGTTTGGGAAACACGCAGGGCTAGGGGTGGGCCACGTGCATACCCTCTCTGCCACAAGTGAAGGCGTGCAGCCCACCAGTGTGTGAGAGGGACCTGGAAATTCACAAACCCCTTTGGTGGCTTTTGGAGAAGCAAGATGGTACAAGGAAGTACACGTGGGACTAGTGAGACAGTATGGCTGAAGAGGGTGGAAGCCAAGGGGATGCCAAGCTGCGTCCCCCTGGGTCTTCATGGGGCAGGGCAGCTGCTGTTAAGCAGGAAGGCATGTGGCGTCCCTGAACCCATCACACTGCAAAGCCCACCACCCCTGGGGACCTCCCTTACCCAGTCATGGGTGCTGTTCCCACCAGAAGACAGCTCAGCCAAGTGGATAAATCTCCAGGACATCAAACTCAAGGATGCTCAGTATGACTTCCTCGCTTGCCACTAGTGCCACCAACACGGGCTGTCACCTGCCTGGGTGTTTCTCCATGTGAAACAATGGGAGTGGCGACAACCCACTGGTGGGCACCACCAAGAGCCACAGCTGGAAACACCTCCATGGAGATGTGAGCTGTGGTGGCCACCACAAAGAGCTGGCACCATGCAACGGCCAAGTGGCAGCAGGTGCCAGGGTGGGGACCCCCATGCCTTCCCTGGACCTGATGTCCTACCTGGGATCCTGTTGAGCGTCACCCAGAAGTGCTCGTCAGGGCTGTAGGTGTCCTCGGACCAGGCCAGCAGATCAATGGCACGCTGGTCCCGCAGCACGAACTCCAAAAGGGCCGGGGTGACGGCCACGTACGCGGAGCCGAAGTAGATGGTGATGTTGTGGGGCGGGGGCGCCTTGCGCAGCCG